AGTCACCTTAACCCTCACCCTTTGGTACAATTACAACATATTTCTTTAAACTATAGTTCCCTTGCTTATACAATGTCATAGAATATAAAATATTTGTCTTGCGATTAACCATTGTAAGAGATCTAGGTGTGGAGAAGATTCTAGTGGTGGGTTATTTGTAGTTGGTAATCAGACAAATGGATGGAACTATGATGGTGAAGGAGACCTTCTTGTTATCCTATAAGACCCTCATCCAGAAGTTAACCAAGGACCTCACCATCACATACTGACATTGCAATCAAGCCAAAGAAAGCTATGTAGATGCCTTACCCACCCTAATTTCCAAAATCAACCCTATGATAAATACACAATAGTCTATGTCCAGATGTAAGGAGAACCATCCATTGATAGATTGTCCCATTGGGTAGAAATACAAGATAGGGTTTGTAAAAGATATTGGAGATATCCCATCTTTCAAAAACATAAAAAAATCTCACTTCCTTAATCTTAGGACAATAAAGTCTTATTGTGATATCAAATTAGTGAATTGGGTCCTTTATTATAAAATGGCTGACGGAATGCACATTCAGTACCTAGGGTTTGAAGAGAGTAAGGTGGTACTAAAGGAAAACCATGAAGCATGTTGTGAAAGCATCATTGTCACATTGTATAGGATATTACAGTGCATGGGTTACTATTGGGCAGGCATTAAAGTAGATGCAATGAGAATACAAAATGGTTGAGAGAAAAGGCAGACAAATTTCAGTATTTGATAGTGGGTGTAGTTGATTGTAGGGATTCTTACATCACATATCTAATAATAGGCGCCCTATTAGCAGAAAAAATTATAAAGAAGAAATTGTTATTTATGATGTATGAATAGATTTGCTATATTGTAGATCTTTTAATGACAAGCCTTTAAGATGCATAGCTAGTGAAAAAATAGAACAAATCATAGAGGCTTCCCATAGCCAAGAGCTAGCAACACACCAGGGACAGAATGCCTTGTGCAATCAAATCTTACATCTAGGGTTTTATTGGCCAGCAATTCTTGATGACATTATTAAACATGTGAAAAATGCCATGTCTGTCAAATCTATTGGCGAAAAATACACAAATTAGCCAATGAGATTCACTTAATAATCACACCATGGCCATTTCACACTTGGGGGTAGATTTTATTGAAAAAACTTACATACCATTTAGACGGTTCTACTTCAGTATAGTAGCCACTTATTACTTTACTAAATGAGTTGAAGCCTTCCTCTTGAAAAGAATAATTGTCTCTAACGTTGCAAAATTCTTACACCAATACATCATTCATAGGTTTGGAGTATCAATGAGAATCTTAACAAGTAATGGATTATTAATCAAAAATAAAAAAGTTAAAGATCTACTGGGACAGTATGGAATGCGACTAAGAATATCTACCACTTAATACCCATAGGGGAACGGGCAAGCTGAAGCCACAAACAAAACCCTATTGAAGATGCTAAATAGAACATTAATTAAATACCAAAGAGATTGGGTAAATAAACTTTTCAGTACATTGTAAGCTTACAAAACCTCCATCAGGAAAAGACAAAATCTAACCCATACTACATGGTCTATGGATAAGAGGTAGTATTGCTCACTGAAATATAAATAGTTTCAGCGAGAGTGACCCATGTAATGGGAAAAACCTTTAACACAAAGGAAATGAATCAGTTGCGATGTGGCATACTTGAAGTCCTAGATGAAATTTGAGAAAAAAATCTTACACTTTCAAGTGAAATACAAATAAATCGTGGCCTCAAATTTCAATAAAATGGTGAAACCACATTTTCAATGAAAGTAGTAAAAATGATGCTACAAGTTAGACAAAGTAAGTTTACGAATAAATTCACTATAAAGTGGCTAACCCCTACACAATTAAGAAAGTACACCCATCTGATTATTATGTACTTTGGAACTTTGAAACCAATAAAGAGGATGAGACTATTAACGACAAGTGGCTAAAGATGAACTATGATTGAGCAGTGCAATTTGTATCCTATCATCAATGAAATATTTATGTCAATCTCATTTTGAATATGTGCAACAACTTATGTACTCTTTAATACTATTGTAATGTTATTGTCATCTTTACAAAATTTAAATTCATTGCATGATTTTTTTAACTATTTCAGTTTGTTTTATTTGGCAAAGTTACAAATGCACAACATAACATGTTGATTTTTCATTATTCATTATTAGCTTTTTATAAATCATAGAATTCACATCAATTTAAGCCATAGAAAACCACCCCCATTCATCAATATAAATGCAGAGACCTATTGTCACAAGTGTTCTCTTCGCCACGCCATCAAGTGCCATCCATCGTGCCTCCAGCCGCCACTCCAATGTCCAAGTGTGTGTCATGGATGGGCTATGCATGTATTTTTGTATGGGGGTTGTCATTGGCATTCTTGTAATTACCTAGTATGATTTTTCATCCTTTTGATGTATCTTTATGTCACTCCCCCAAAAGTTAACGTACTTTTTGAGGAGAGGTAGGTAGTCGAGTGAATTAAGAGCATGTAAATGTTAAGCATGAAATCCCGTCGACACTAAACTGTGTGCTTATGCTTGCCATCCATTAATGCAATACAAGTTGTCTTTTGTCTAATTTGTGTGTCATCTTTGTTGCCTTCTTTTGTGTTGTTGCTTGTTGCTTAGGCTTACTCGTCGCATTCGAGTGCCGCACGGGGCCCCAACGACTAGCCCCGTGACACTATGGCAAAGTCCATAAGCCTCACACAAGGTGCAATAACAACATGTTCAGCATAAATCCCTATGAAAAAGCTCATAGACTTTATACAACGTGCATCAACAATATCTTTAATGCAAAACTATATGGCAATGCCCATAGACTTCATACATCATGTGACAAATACATCTACAACTTAGAACCCCATGGAAAAACCCATAGATCTCACATAATGTGCAAATAGATCTCTCTAAGCACAAAAATCCATAACACTACCCACAAACCTTACACAACATGCAAAGAAATCTCATACAATAGGGAATAGACCCGTGTAAAACTATATGGCAATGCCCATAGACTTCATACATCATGTGACAAATACATCTACAACTTAGAACCCCATGGAAAAACCCATAGATCTCACATAATGTGCAAATAGATCTCTCTAAGCACAGAAATCCATAACACTACCCACAAACCTCACACAACATGCAAAGAAATCTCATACAATAGGGAATAGACCCGTGTAAATAGTGCCTACATGCCTCACACAACGCCCACATGTTGTAAATAACACGCATTGCGATACAATTCCATGGCAAATATATACTTTGTGCCGAAAGACTTTAAATCATAATACAATTTAATTACATCTCCCTGGTGCCCAATACCCAAGTACCATATAGTTATGATTGTTATGTGTGCCAAATACTATATATCACAAACTACATCTCAATATCATAATATTGAAAATGTAATGTTTAATTGTTGATTGCGAATCACATCGAATAACTACAATCATAGCACATACGATGCAATGTCTAAGCACAATGACTTATGATTATCCACATGCATTATTTGCTAAAAGAGTCAACAATACCTAATCACATCGCACATTTGCATTGTATCTTATATTTGCCATTCCTACCATATTACAAATCACATTGCATTATATATTATTATAGAAAGCACATACATTGGTGAAATAATATGCAAACGAAATTATAAATATCGCTAGAATGTTCTTGACTTTTGCTTTCATACTTAGAGAACTTTGATGTCAACACTTATTAGTGCATTTACAATTTAAATATGTATTGAATCGTGATGCTTAAAATAAAGGTTTCGTATAAAGACAAAAGCAAAACAATAATCAAAATGCAAAAAGTTTCATTTCATTTATTTAAAAATTACAAGTTTCAATATGATCCCTTTGTCTAATTCTCTTTGCAGGCAAAATTTCCTTCGTAGGAGTGCCATTGATGAGAATATGAAACGAAATATACTAAATGCATTTCATAACCCAAACAATCTAGTGATGATGTAAGTTAGATTTAACAAGGACTTTTTCCATAAAATCTCATTCCGTTTTATTGTATGTTTTCTCCATATCAATTTTACAAGCCATAATTTTAAGGAAAAATTCCCGATTAGTACCTTGTACTTTGGGCTAGTGACACTTTGGTCTTAAAATGTGACAATTCAATATTCAAACTTTTATAACCTACCAATCCAATACTTGTCGCTAATCAATTTGTTTAATCAACTGTTAAGTGACAATTGAAAAGACACAAATGCCTTTTGAGTGTCATCTAATTCTCTTTATCAACCATCCAATCATTAATAAAAAATGAACAGTCCTAAATCTTTGCCTCTCATATTCAAAAAAGTTGAGATCACCAAAATGCCTATCGAGACATGATCCCAATTTTCTTGAATAGAAGAGGCAAGGATTTAGGACCGCTCATTTTTATCAACGTTTGAATAATTGATAAAAATTGCTGCATTTTAAAACACCAGTTAACGAATTGGTTAACGACGGGTATTGAATTGGTACATTATTAAAGTTCATGTACTAAATTGTTACATTTTAAAAGTTCAAAAATAAAAGTATCACTAATCGGAAATTTTCCCTAATTTTGAGGAAATAAGATTTTTTTTATTTATTGGATTTGATAATGGAGATACCCATCCTCCTACCATAACCCCCGAAGGCCTGAACCATGGTGGCAGCGGTCAGGTCTCTTACATTAACCATCGGTTGGTCCAGTTTTTCAGATACGATGTCCCTTAATTAAACGGCGCATATCTTGGGATAAAAGCCAATCAAATGTAGGAATACTATAAGGGTGTTTTCGTCTTTTTATCGGACAGAAGGGGGGCCTCAGGATTAGATGCTTAGAGTAGATGATATGGAACCCACTTCAGGAGCGATTCAGATGCCACGTGTAAGTATTGTAAGCAGCGACGAAAACAACAAGACAGAGAATTGCGACTGTTGAAGAGTGGAGAGACTTGCAGTCGTTCAGAAAAATCTCGCCAACTTCCCTGCCAAATCCCTGTCTTCAGCTGACTTTGTTTTGGCAAAAGAAGACAGTGGAGAGAGAGAGAGAGGGAGAGAGAGAGGGTTTTTCATTTCCATTTCCATTTCCATGGTTTTGTTGGTTGAGTGGCATGGTGCAGAAGGACTAGTTGAGGAGGAGAGGGGAGATCAGAATATTTTTCACTTCTATGCTTGAGAGAGAGAGAGAGAGAGAGAGGAGTAATAAGAAAGCTCTTTCACTCTAGAGCGAGAGGGAGATCGGAGAAGCCAGAAACCCACGATAGAAACCAGCAGTCCAAAGATTGATACCCATAAAAAAATTCAAAAGAAAATGGCAAAATTGCCATTCACATCTTCCTCTTCGAATCCTCCGAGGAAAACCTTAGTTAGGGTTTTAATGATCACAATACTCTGTTCTGTTTCTTACATCATAGGTTCTTACAAAAGCTCAGCCTCAATTATTCCAACCCATTTTGAAGGTTCTCACTGTCTGCAACTCAACCTCTCAGTTCTCAAAAGCCCTTCATTATCCCTAGATTTTGAACCCCATCACACAATGTCTCTCCCTCCGGACGCCTCAGAAGAACCCGAATTCTTTGAATTCTGCAGTGAGAACTTCACACATTACTGCCCATGTCAAGACGCAACAAGGGAAAGACAGTTTAATATGGAAAAGATGTTTCACAGAGAGCGGCATTGTCCGGGGAAGGATGAGGTAATCCGGTGTTTGATTCCTAAACCAGTTGGATATAGGAAACCATTTCCATGGCCGAAGAGCAGAGAAGTTGCTTGGTTTAATAATGTACCGTTCAAGATGTTGACTCAGTACAAAAAAATGCAGAACTGGGTACGCTTGGAAGGTGATAAGTTAGTATTTCCAGGAGGTGGGACATCTTTCCCCATGGGCGTGAAGAATTATGTGGATCTGATTAAGAAGGTCGTCCTGTTAAAATCGGGGAATGTCAGGACAGTTCTTGATGTTGGTTGTGGGGTGAGTTAAGTTTAAAGGCAAATTTTTTCTTGGAACTTCTTGATGCCATTATTCTTCTGTTCTGTCTGTGGTCAAAATACAAGTGTTTGCTACAGTGGTCTTTTTGTTAATATGATTTTTCTAATTGATCAGGAAATCTGGTTTTGATGCAATGCTGAGTTTCTCAGTTGTCTTGTTGCATCTGTTTCTTGTGTGTACTCTGCATTTGATTCATTTGTATACGTTTGCCTTATTTGGTTCTTAGTGTCAATGATGAATTCATGATCATTAACTTCATGGTCAAGTGAGTTGGATTTTGGCTGTGTTTTTTTTTTTTTTTGTTGGTATTTTGATTTGCAGCTTTGAACTTAAATGGGGTTATTAAAAGGAGAAAAGAATTTAACTAAGAAATGGAGTAAAGAAATTTCATGCTATAATATTGTTGACCATTAGCTGGAGACCACTGCTTTGGATGGCCTGGGTAACTGATAATTTAACTGTTTTGACAAGGGTTTATCAATTATTGTTGGGTTTAGTGGGTATGCCTTGGCGGTGGCTGCAAATCATGTAATGGCCCTGCAGATGCTAATAATAAATCTTTCCACAGCATTAGGAGACCTTGACTGATGGTCTTATGAAATGACACGGAAAGGCAGAGGTGCATCATTGCTCACCTGATTCCCAACCAAAGGATATGGTGGGGCATTACCGCATTGGTCCATGGGGGTGTACTGTTTAGAGATGTAACAAAGGTTAAGGCTGGGCATATTGGCCTGTTCAAATTTGAATTTGAAGTCTTGGTTTTCTTTGAGAGGTTTTCCTTTATAACACTCTCACTTCAAAACTCTTTCTCTAAGAGGTTTTCCTCTCAAGCTTGGTCATCAAATGGACGGCGTCATTTGATAGAAGTTTGGTCATCAAATGGACCAAACTTGGTTATTCTCTATTACAGATTTGACAGAAGGTTTTCCTTTATAACCCAGACCATCAAAGCTTTTCCTTTATAACACTTGGCGTCATTACTTGGTTATTCTCTATTACAGATTTGACAGAAGGTTTTCCTTTATAACCCAGACCATCAAAGGTTTTCCTTTATAACACTTGGCGTCATTACTTGGTTATTCTCTATTACAGATTTGACAGAAGTTTGGTCATCAAATGGATGGCAGAAGACTTTGATTGGCTAGATACCTTTGTTTTTCAGGTTTGCATACATGGCCTCCAGGTGGTGTTTTTGGGTTTGCCTATGTACCTTCATGGCTTTGCTCTGTTTGTTCCGATTCTGCCATGCTTGACTGTTCAGTTGGTCATGGCAGTTCCACGATTGTTGGGCCTACACATGTAGTTGGCGGCATAAAGTTTGCAATCATGGGCATTATGTGGCATTATCTCGGGCTGTTTGAGTGCCTTTTGGTTCCTATCTTGGGTGCTATGTTTGGCATCATCTTGAAATCCTATCTTGGGCAACTTGAGTGTCTTTTTCCTTGTGTATGCTAACAGTGGCACATCTGATCTCTACTCTTCTTGTCTATTTCCTTTATCTTCTATTGGTCAATTGTTCCTTTTTTTGTATATGCTTAGTATCATGATTGTATTTTGAGCAGTTGAGTTGAATGAAATAGCCTTGTGGCCTCAAAAAAAAAAAAAAAAAAAAAAAGTGAAGGCCTGGCCTTCAATGGGGGAGTGTATTTTCTGTTGGAACACTGATTTATTCATTATTGAAATAAATTCAAAGGGGTAGAAACCCAAAATAGTTTTTTACATAACTGCTTATTTGGCCATTTTGAAGGAGAGGTGATGGACATGGAGACAGTGGAGAGATGTGCCTTCAAATCTTGGCAGTCTCTGTAAAGGTAAAAGCAATAGTTGTCAAAATGTTATGGTTTGTGATGGTGATTCTCAAAGGTTTCAATTCAAATATTATGTTTGAATCCTTTTTGCAAAGATCTTACAATTATTGTGTAGAGATGTTGGGCTAGATGGGCCTTAACTTGCTCCTTTCTATTTGTTATCCTCTGTAGTTGTCTTTTCTTGCAATAGATCTCCTTTTTATTCATTTTATGTTTAATAAGTCAGCCTCCCTATTAAGGGCATCCATGTAATTACGCCATTAGTTAATTACATAATTAATCAAAGGGATTAAGTGGATTGGAGAGTGATACGATACTCTCTTCTCCTTCTCCCTCCACTTTCACTCTTCTCCTTGCTGTGATCTTTCTTCTTTCTTCTCTCTTTTATTTCTTGTGATAAGTCTTCAACCCTTTTGATGCATTCTCGTGACGAAGTTCTGAAAATTGTGAGACAATTTCATGAATTATTCTTATTCAATTTGATACTTGTATCGAAATATTCCGATTTGATAATGCTAGGGAATATTTTGGAAAGAGTCTCTCCACGTACCTTAAAAATTTTGGGGTTGTTCACGAGATTCTTGTGTGCACACTGCACAACAAAATGGAATGACAGAAAGAAAAAATCATCACATTGTTGAATTTAGTCTCCTTTTTTTTGCTTCAAATGTTCATATGATTTATTTATTTATTTATTTTTTTTTGGGGGGGGATGCTATTGTTATAGCAACATATCTCTTTAATCTATGCCATCTAGAGTCTTTGGATTCAAGTCTCCTTTCAGTCTCCTCTTTCCTAACATCGATATGTTTTCCCTTCCTCTTCGTGTTTTTGGATGTATTTTCTATGTTCATATTCTTAGTTCTTAGAGACACAAATTTGAACTTAAGGCTTGGAAATGTGTTTTTCTTGGTTATGCCTTCACATAGAAGGGCTATTGTTGCTATTACCATGTTAGTGGCACCTGCTTTGTTTCTTTGATTCTCACCTTTGGAGAGTCTATCCCCTTCTATAGTCTTCCATGTAAGGGGGAGCACTCCTTCGAATTGTTTGACCTTCCTCTCCTTGCTCCTATCTTGGTGAATCAAATGAATCTTCTCCCATTTCTTCTGCTCCTCCTATTGAGTCATCCTTTGTTCCTAACCCTCCTCCTCTTGCTAATCCTCTTATTTTATTACTCCTATTATCAATCACAAGTGGTACCAAAGGCAAAGGCATAGGGATTAGCAAGTTGTTTCCATTGCTACAACTGCCATACGCTTTCAGTTCTTGAAGAGACAACATATTTTGTACCCCCTCCTTCAACTTCCCCACCCATCTTTCTAGACCTCTTGGACCTACCTATTGCTACAAGAAAAGGCAAAAGAATGTGTATGGCTCTTTGTATCTCTAAGCACCTTTCTTATGGCTTCCTTCATTGTCCTATTACTGCATTCTAGCCTTTGTTTCTTCTCAACTTATTCCTAAATTTGTTTCAGAAGCATTATCCAAACTAGAATGGAGGGATGCTATAAAAAACTGAAGTAGAAGCATTACTTAAGAATCATACCTAGGATATTGTTGAGTTGCTTGAGGGGAAGAAATTAGTTCGATGTAAGTGGGTCTATACTGTAAAGTACAATGCTGATTGTTCTATTTAGTGGTTTAAGGCTGCTTGGTGGCAAAGGGGTATATACAAATGTATGGAGTGGAGTACTCTGATGAAATTCACACCACCGTGGCATGTGCCTATCTCTTCCTGGGTTCACATGTGGTGGTTGAGGTGATATTTCGATCACTTTGTCTTTGACTTATGTTTTCATGATTAACAGTACTTCAGTCTTGCTACGTTCAAATAGTGATGGTGGGCTGGCTTATCTCCTCTTCTTCCACATGTTGGCGTTGTAGGATAGGACATTTGCCGCGGTCTCCTGTTCACTGCATAAGGTTCTTGTTCCTGTTGCTGCTATTGAAATCGGTTTTGTGATTCCCATCTGTTGGATTCGAGCCACCTCATTGTCCTTGTTGTGCGTTTAGTGCATTCCCACAATTGGAGAAGCTTTGCAACTCCGGATTCTGTAGAGCGGCCTTGTACCGTGGCTGCATTCCCCGCACACACTACTCAATAAAATCCTTCTCCAACATGTGCTCATGGTATACTACCTGAGTCACCTTTCTAAATCAAAGAACATAATCTGTCAACTCTTGTTAATACCTCCATTCTACATTCTACAGGGTCACCGTCGTCATCCTACGTTTCATCGTGAACAACTGTCCAATTAATTTCTTGACTAACTCCATGAGTCAATGCTGCATAGGGCTAGATTAATGAACCACGTTTAAGTGGGATAAGTAATGTACTTTGAGGTTCCTATCTAGAGCAAAGGGACCTAACATATCCTTGAACTTGCTGATATATTCTTGCGGGCTTCCTGATTGGCCATCATAGAGATGCCACTGTTGGGGTGGATGGTAACCACTCGGATATTGTTTTTGGGTGATCTTGATACTGTGCAGTTTCTAGAATGTGGAATTCATGTGAGGTTTGCTTTGTCTTGTTTTGGCCATGCTTTACATGTACTCTTAGACGTCTTTTTTGCTAACGAGAAGCTGTGGTGCGAGGTGAAGTTGCGATACAAAAAGAAGTGAGGTTGCAATACGATGCAATTAGTGTTTTTCATTGCGTGTTGGTAAGTTGTGAAACTGTTCACATTGCTATGCTGCCGTTCATTGCACTGCTAGTGATGTGCGATGGCTAATCGCAGTGTCCTATAGGTACTAGAGGCAAAGGCAACAGAACAGGTTGTTCCCCCGCCTTCAATTGAGCTTCAGGCACTTGCAATTTTTGAAGAGAGGAAAAGTCCTTTACTACCTACTCCAATACCTTCCTTCCCAAACCTCGACTTACCCATTGCTCTGAGAAAGGGTAAGAAGTGGAGATGTAAACTAACTACATTTCAAAACGCCTTTCAACTTGTCGTTATCATCATACTATTTATTTCTAGCCCCTATTTCCTCTCAACCCATCCCCAAGTTTGCTATAAAAGCCTTGTCCAAACTAGAACGGAGGGAGGCGATGAGAATTGAAATAGAAGCACTTTGCAAAAATAATACCTGGGGCATTGTAGACTTGCCTATTGGGAAGGAACCAGTGGGATGTAAGTGGGTGTGTACCATCAAGTATCGTGTTGA